ATTGGCTATTATAGCTATAAATATTAATATTTTTTAACAAAAATTTCACAAAAGGTAGTTCAAATTATGTACTTTGTGATTAATAACGCGATTTGAAAAAAAAACCAATTATTTACCAGAAAAAAAATCCTTAAAAAATAGCTTTTTTTTAGCCGTTACACTGGTTTCCCCCCTTAATAGACCTTTTTTCTTTTTTCCCAATAGCATAGTTAAATGCATTCCAGCTGTTTTAAATAATTATACACATAGAATTGATATCGATTGAAACATCGAAAGATTCTTCACAAGCGTTATGTTTTTCAAATATACATTTGACATAATTTCTTGGCGACATTAATCTCTGAATGTAATGTATGTAATGATACATTCACATTTAAACTTCCGGCTTTAAGAATGTATTAACAGAACCGATAATTTTTATTCACTTTTTGCGAAATAATGTACTTGACATAATCTCTTTGCGACATTAATCTCTAGCGCATGTAATGATACCTTCACCTTTAAACTTCCGGCACTTACGAATGTATTAATAAATTATTAATACCGGTATTTTTATTCACTTCGCAATATATGTATTAAAAAAAAAATATTTGGCATAATCCGTCACTCTCTATGCATACACAAAATTATTAATTTTTTATTATTAAAGATAAACCTCGGAAAAGAATCCGCCATTCTTGCTTTGATATCTGTAAATGACATTTAAAGTACCTTTCAAAAATTTTTGGCCTTGTTCGTATCTTATTTGGCAGGTCATTGTTGTAACTCCTGGACATTGTTCATCGCTGAGAATACCGAGAAAGATCCGGGAAGAATCTTTGAATTTGAGCGATCAATCGCGAGGCCAGTCAGCCCACCACGCACCTTGTTGTCGATCGGCGCGCTCGCAATCGCGTTCGAGCTTTTTACGCATCCGTAGTAAATGGAATCATTCATAGTATCTAGGCGTGGTGTTTGCGAGCCATGTGTCTACTTGTTGCATAGTGTTAGCCGTGTAACTGTGTGGCCGATTACGGGACTTTTCTCACCGTTGCGTCGTACCACTGACGCCTTGTCTCGAAATAAAAGATGCAAATACAGATGATGACCCTCGCGGCGCCGATTAGTGAGATTATCTCCTCATTAAAAGAACTTGAAAAGATACAAACATCATTAAATATTTTTAAACTTTGCTTGAAATATCTGAATACATATTTTTGAAAAATTTACGAGCTTTTAGCTGTTCAAATGCGACAGAAAGCATTTTGTAATACATATTCTACATTTTTAATAAAATATTGAGAAATCTGACGAGCATTCAACGATCTACTCTAAATCTATAGCTCATCAAAATTTGACGAGTTTAGCGGAAGTTTAATAGAAACTTGACGAAAGAGTAACAGAATTCTATCAAAAATTTCTCCGACATTAATTCGTATTGTTAATCAAAATTATAGTTTATAAAATCATTAAAAATTAACATATTTGATATAAATAATTATGAAATCAAAGAGGAAAATATTTGCATGCAATGAATACAATACCATTGAAAAAATGTGTGTTGGGCGGCGAGTCCACACAGATTGTGCCATTAAATATCAATGTTTTTCGGTGGAATCCTGTTAAACCTCCCTGTCAAACTTCCAGTATACATTTACAGGCATTCCCGACAAAATTAACGGGCAAATATAAAATGTGATGAAAAGTTCAAATCTAAAAGCCGCATAATTATCATATTAGCCACGTAATTCTAAATTAATAGCCACGCGCCATGCGATTGTCGGATCGCGTGGTGAGTAACACGCCGAGTATCCGTCAGGAACGAGTTGGTACGCGACCGATGCGCGACAGAACATAACTTGCTCGTCATCGAGATGCTAATTAATACGACAAAGACACAAATCGAGCCAAGACGTCAATGTAAGTACCGCTAAGTATTTTATTTTTATCGTTTACTATATTTTCGTACTTTTGCATCGACACGTTAAACGCTGTAAAGACCATTTTAAAAGAGGATAAGAAAGAAGTAAAATTGCTCGTTGATCTAAAAAAAAAAAAAAAGAAAAAAGAAAAAATTCGATAAAAAGATCCAGCTCTCCTAATCCCGAACGGATCGATATCTGATTAGAAGTTTACTTTTCGTTACTTAACACATTTTAAATTTCAACTTTTAATTCCGAGGTTTCTTCCAAGGTAAAAGTTATGATGCTTGTTTTCTATTAAAACGAAGGATAGATACAGTAGTCTTATGAGAATCTTGTTTAACGACTTTCATCCTGTAGGTTTCCGATGTGTGCAGTGTTCCGTGATATATAAGTAATCGTGATATTAATATGAAAATCTTAGATATACTCTCTCTTTCATACGCGACTGAAATAATTTCTCAACTATATATATTCCTCGCGTTTATAATTAGGAGAGAGCAAATTGCGAATAATACTTCGAACTCGTCGCACGTAGGTAGAGATGGTAGTTTTTCCCCAACGTTTGCGGGTACGCGATCATGAATGGTAATGGGATACGTTTTACGTTACAATTCCAATGAACGCGTATTCCAATGAAAATTGCACGTGCGTATTCCCGGTGCGTGCGCAGGTGAACGCGTAAAATTATCGGTTGTACGCAACCGAGTGTGAAAAGAAAATCCTTCAGAGAAAAAGAACCGTGTGGCCGATAGAGCGAACAATCGCGCCAAAGAAATCTATCTATCATTCCGTTACTCGAACATTATTAATTTTGTAATAAAAGAACACAAAAAAAACATGAAAAGAAAAAATGAATGAAACTTTTTCACGAAATTAGCGTTTCGTGCAAAGATAATAGGATAATCCCGCAAAATTCATTGAACGTCGTCGATTTCTTTATTGCGTCGTTATGAAACAGCGTAATCGCGCGTCAAGGATATCGCCGATGCTGGATCTATCTTTTTAATGCCGACAATAATACTTGTCTTACCTTCGCGCAGAAGGTGTCTATTATAATCCACGCGTAACGATGCGATCCTTTAAATGTTTGCAGTCGAGAATCGCAGGGAACTTGCACGCAGTCTCATTGCGTCATGATAGAAAAAAGCATATCGATGAGAAGGAAGGCGAGAAAAACGAAAATGATCCCGCCGGACGGTGGATGGGGCTGGGTGGTGCTCTCTTCCGCCCTCGTCGTCAACTTCCTTATCCCGGGTACTGTCAAATCCTTCGGCGTACTCTTTGTCGAGTTTCTACACGTCTTCAAGGCATCCTCCACGGCGGCTTCCTGGATGCCGGCGCTATGTTACTTTCTGTACAGCTCGTTAGGTAAATACAGCTCCGTAAGGATATCTTAATCGCCGATTGAAATCCGCTTGGAGTTTTAATTTTTTTTTTTCCGATTCGCAAAGTGGTCGATGTATCGAATAACTTTTAATAGCGACCTAAAAAATTTTTTCATTAGAATAACATTAATGATACACATTTTTATCATTTAATAAATAGAATTTTATATCTCTCTAATTATAAATTGTATTATTTTTTTCGATAAATTTCTAATTATATACAGGAAAATTTACCGAATTAAATATAAAATTCCGCTATCGAGATAGAAATAAATATTGCGCAATGTGCATTTCGCACTTTGTGCGAAATAATTTAATTGATAAATATAAAATATGTAAAATATTTTCTGCAGGTCCTTTATCTAGTGTTCTATCAACCAAGTACTCCTATAGAAGTGTGACTCTCATCGGGGGCACCTTCGCAGCCAGCGGGATGATGTTGAGCTACTTTGCCAATTCGGTTACTTATCTTTATGTCAGGTATGATGCTGTTTGATTGACGTTTGAAAACACGGCAAGCAAATAGACAAACACATGGCTATTAACGGTTCTAGTTTTAATATTAAGACATTGTGTAACATGATCGATTATTAAGAAAAGCATTCGAGAGGACTTAAAATCTCCGCTTAAATGCATAGATAATATAAAGTGCTGCATAAGATCTTTCTCTGAATGATAAGAACTTAGAATTTTCATTTCGTAGCATTTTTCACAGAGACTTAACAATCTTTCTATACGCAGTTATGGACTTATGGTCGGGATCGGTGCTGGATTAACATTTCCACCGACGGTTTATATCGTTACGCAGTACTTCGAGAGGCTACGAGGGGTAGCGAACGGTTTATGCATTTCTGGCAGCGCGATTGGCACTATAGTGCTACCGCCGTTACTGCAATATCTGCTGGACTGCTTCGGATACAGGTAATGTACTGGAAAAAAAATTAAATGTACTCTCGATAATAATTATTCAAGAACAAACATATAAAGGGGTAATAAATATTAGAAGGATAAATGTGAATTATTCAGATGTGTTCCTCTCCGCCCTGGTTCGAGAACAAGATATCTATTCTACGCTCCCACACACAAAAGACTTTATGCACAATTCCAACTGCTTTTGACGGGGCGGAAAGTAGACGTGCTTTGAAGCGGTTCGAGAATACACACGCCGAAGCGGCTTGGGAAGCAAGCACAAAAACCTTTCACAAACCTTCGCCGAAATCTTCGTTTCAAGAAAGGTCTCGCAATTTGGAGCCTCAATTTGGAAATTTTAATTTTTGCAATCTTCTACGCGTTTAACACGAACAATAAAAATTGCATGCTAAACTAGATATCCACATCATAATATTACGAAGTAAATATTATAATCTTAAACTGAATTGCTTTTGCTTTCCAACTACAAGTGTTTTTACGTAAATGTTTTCAGTAAATTATCGTGTAATAAATAAGTTTATATAAATAAATTATTTATGTGTATGCGTGTGTGAGAGACAAAATCTTTTTAATTTTATACAGAGAATACATAAGATAGATTCTCTTTTTTAATATGATACTTATATTCTTTGAAATATTGCAGATGTAACAATAAAAATAATATCTCAGAGTATAATGGAATACCGGAAAAATTTTTTTTTTTATTCGCTATAGAAAAAAAAATAATCAAAGCATAAAATAAAAATTTAAAAAAATATGCGGTTGCATACCATCATATATAATTTGGTCATTTTTATATTGTAAAATAATATTAATAATAATAAAAATGAGACATTTTAAATCACAATTGTAAATAAACTGTTCTTTTTTCGAATCGTTCCAGAGCGCTTTGAATCGCGTGTATGGTTCTTAAGAAAATCTTATACTGCAATAATAATATTATAACTGAATATTTTCAGTCATAATCTGTCATTTGGCAATGCGCTTTTATTAATAAAATACCTAAAAAAAAGTTTTATAAATTTAATTTATGTAATATATATTTTTTGTATCTATTTAATTTTTTTCAAATATATATTGATAGAAAATTATCGTACAAATAATTCTCCCGAAAAGTTATAATTGTAATATTTCTTATTTTTGAGACGTCCCGTCAAATAATTAGTATAAACTTTTAATTAAAATGCAACATAATTCTCAAAAATAAAGTTAGATATATATCTTACTTCAATTAGATTTTCTTGTCATATTCCAGAGGAGCGGTACTCATTATGGGCGGAATCACGCTGAACACGCTAGTGTGCGGTTTGCTCTACCATCCGGTCGAACAGCATATGAAAATCATATATCTAGACGAAGGCATTGATAATGAAGCACTGACTCTCGATGAATCTATCGACGGAAAACAAATGCTGGCTGAGAAAACAGAAAGTGATTTAAAATACGATTCAAGTCTCCAAACTGCTTACAGTAACGACAAGCTCTCGCATAATGTGGTGCTAGAGTCAATTAACGAAAAGGCATCGTACGACTCTGAGAAGAACGATCGGAGAACTGACACAATTCTTAGATTACAATCTGATGTCTCTAATGAGGATATGATCTCTCGAACGCGGGATGAGATTTCGCAAGAGGATATTGCGAACGAAATTTGCTTGACAACCCGTCCAAGTCTCACGAAGAAAGATGAAGACGATTTGGATGATATGCAGATTTCACCGCGACGAGACAGCACTATTGTCGAAGAAAACTGCAAATTGCAGTTCGATTCTTCAAAAATCGCGGACAATTCTAAGGATGACAATAATAAGAAGTGTGCAGAAGAATCTAAACAGGATGATGCGTGCTCAAAATCGGCGAAAACATCGGTGGAGAAGCTTGATAAGTCCGAAAAGATACGTTTCTTCGACCTGAGCGTGTTGAAGGATCCTATTTATTTGGTGATCCTGATTTCCAACACCACGTCGGCCATCAGTAATACGAATTTCATGATACTGTTGCCGTCTTATGCGATCGCCGAAGGTTTCGACAAGCATTCGTCGGCTCTGCTCCTGTCGATAGTCTCCGCGTTGGATCTGGTCGGCAGGATCAGCGGCGCGTCTCTGTCCGACATCGACTTTGTCCCAAAATATTATTACTTCGTGGGCGGACTCGGCACCAGCGGTATCGCCCTGGCATTGCTACCTATGGCGACCAGTTATGCCATGCTATCCTTCTTCTGCGCTCTCTTCGGCCTATCTTCGGGCATGTACATCGGCATCACAACGGTCATTCTGGCAGATATGCTGGGAACTGAGAAGCTCAGCTCGTCTTACGGAATATCGTTGTTCGTTAATGGTGTTCTGCAACTCGTCGGGCCGCCCGTATGCGGAGTTATCTTCGAGAATGTGCTCTCGTATAAGCCCATCTTTTTAGCCTTCGGAATCATCTTGATTCTGGGCACCGCGCTCTGGGCGGCGGTACCGATCATCAAGAGAAACAGTAAAAAGAATCTAGAAGCAACGTAAAGTTTTACCGACGCTTCGAGCAAGGTTTTGATGAACCGAAATAAGCGAAGTATCATAAAAGACTTTTTTGGACTACAGTCACACGAGAATCTTTTTAGAATTTTATATTCTGAAAGAAATTCAAGGGTTCTTAGATACATGAAATAACGAACGTTTGAATTCATTGCATCTAGCGAATTTGATATATATATTTCTTGAAATATATATTCTAAGAGGAGAATCTTTAGAAAAATTTTCATATGATATATTAAGTTTGATATCAATGAATCTCCAACTTTCATGTGTATATAATTATTTGCACAATAGATATTTATCACGACAAATATTCTGCGATTCATGCCATTATTACTTAAGATTATTAGGTGAAAACTGTAAAGTAATGAAGGCTTGTATAAACTGAATAGCTACAAATAGTGCAAACACAATTTTTATATTCTATCAATTATATGTTGCTCGAAATAAAATAAATTTTATCTCTCAAAGAATTATATATTTTTATATATATTAAACATTGTAACTACTTTTCCACTGAATAGCGATTATTAAATCGCCATGATATATAAAATTATAATATGTAGAGATGCCCTAAAATCTTTTTAGAGTATACATGTGTCTCTTCTCATTACATCTCCTGGTTTCTACAAGCCTCTTCTACATATATATCAAGCAACTGTTGTTTGATCATTTATAGCCTTACATAAGTTTACTATTGTTGAAAATAATATACTGCCAGTAACAAAATAATATCATTAACAGAATTATCTGTAAATTTACTTTAGAATGAAGAGATACGAAACATATCAGGAGTTGGCGTAGATAAGAACATATATATATATATA